CAACTAAGAACTGATGTTTTACCTCCCACTAATGGACGTTTAATTAGGCACAGTAATGAACCATTCTGTCATTCCTTCATTTATAGAGAAGACTTTGTATATGCAAGATACAATTTTGACAGAACATCAGGTCCACTGAACCTTGCCGACTCACATCTAATAGATACTAAATTTATTATGCTTTTGTCAGTTGTTGGATTTATCATTTTAATGACACTGTCCACAGACTTATTTTGTTGCCAAAGAACAGCATCACCATTCTGCAGAAACATTTGTTGACATCTTGATCAACAACTCCTGGGGTCCAATTCTGACTATAATATGACTACTTCGGGACCTGGAGCAAGTTATTTAACCTCTGTCTAAAGATTAATTGGTTAATTTTAATAAGTGCTTTGCAGGAAAATGTGGGGAGTGCTATGACTGCTAATAGTGATAATAAAATTATAATGCAGCCTTTTAGAATGCATTGGGCTAGCTCGAACTTTGTTTCTATTAAGGTGCCAATTAAAATATAGGCTAACTGAATTTATTCTTTTTAAGAATCCAAATGGCTTTAATGATGGTCATATAGTATATTTAAAATAAAATGTAAAAAATAAAATCAATGCTAGTGGTTCCTGAAGTTAAAATATACTAAGAATGAAAGGGAAAAAAAAATGCTTGATAGACTATGACAGTGAAACCATTGGGAACTGATAAATAGCTACACACAAATACCAGATGGTTGTACCCTAATTAAATGTAGCTTTGCACATTAAATTAATTGTTCTTTTATTAACTTATCTCCAAACTACTTTTATTTATTTATCTATGGTTGTTCATTTGTTTATTCAATAAATGCAATTGTTAGGATTAGTTTGAAAGAAGTCATACTAAGTAAGTAGAAGGGATTCACTTCATTAAGTCACACTTGGTAAGAGTAGAACAAGAAAAAAATAAAAAGTAGTAACTTGAAGTGTCAGTAGAGAAAGAGATTAGTTCAAGCTGAAGTTCAATGTGAACAAATTCAACAAAGAGACTGTTTAAGCTAGACAGGGACAGGGACAGGAACAGAGACAGAACTGGGCATGGAGAGATGGAGGTAAGGAGGAATACAAAAAGAATAAATTTCAAGGGAAGAGAGTCATGTAGAGGCTGGGAAATTCAATGATATAAGTAACTGAGCAGTATGATTTTTCTAGAATTTAAAAGGGACTGCAGGAGCAGTTTGGATAGTAATGCATTTCATGGGATATTACATATTCAATATACTGTTCATAAGCATGAACTCATTGGAGGATATAACAAGGATGGAAGGAAAAAAAAACATAACCTTTGAGTTCATAGATAGAAGTTGTGTAGGATTATTATTCTATGTTGAAGGGAGAAAAATAAATGAGCAATGAGGAAACCAGCATTATGTATGTAAGGATACATACATATAACTGGATTTGATTTGTCAGATAAACTTTGCTGGCCTGTAGAGCATTTCATTCAATATAGAAATTAGGTGAACAGTTTAAAAAAGGGTACCAACTTAGGGTCTTGGCAAGTACATATATTAAGAGACTAGGCAATACAAATAGAATGTAAACCTAGACAAAATCAGTTTAAAATTGAATCTTTCTTTGTTGCAGCAGAATTGATCCTTTGTTACATCAGAGGCAAAATAATATTATTGATTCTCAAACTTTAGTGCATGTTGTTTGATTCTATGCTGTTCTTTTTTAGTTTGTTTTTAATTTTTTATCGAGGTAATGTTGGTTAGTATCTTTGTACTTTGGACATACAGGCTCATCGACTTGTAATCTGTTTTTTCTCTATTCCATATAAAAGTGACCCCATCTGGTGTTTGTCTTTAACTTTCTGATTTGCTTCACCTAGCATAATCCCTTCCGCTTCATCATGTTGCTAAAAATGATAGAATCATTTTTGATCACTGAGTAGTCCATTATGTATATATTACACATTTTCCTGATTCATACATCTGTTTTGGGGCATTTAGGTTGTTTACATATCTTGGCTACTGGAAACAGTGCAGTGCTGCAAATTAGTATTTTTGTGTTCTTCTGGTAGTCACAGAGTAGTTTTATTGCTATGTCATATAGTTGATCTATTTTTAAACTTTTGAGAAAACTCTATATTGCTTTTCAAAGGAACTGAACCTTTATTGAGTCCCACCAAAAGGACAGAGGATTCCTTTTTCATCACACCCTCATTAACATTTGTCATTTTGGATCTTTTGATAAGCCATTCCCACTTGCAGTCAGATCATATTTAATTATGGTTTTGATGTGCATTACCATGATAAGGTAGGTTGAATATTTTTTTTCATGTAACTGTTAGTCATCTGTATATCTTCTTTGTTTAACTGCCTATTTTTAGCTCCTCTGCCCATTTTCTGATTAGGTTATTCACTTTAATTTTTGTTGAGTTGTGTGAGTTCTTTGTATGTATTTGACATCATGTATGATGTGTGAGTATTTCCTCCTATTGAGAGTCTTTTTTGAGAGTCTTTTTTTTTTTTTTTTGTCTTGGTTATGGTTTCTTTCATGGTGCAGAAATTTTAATTTGATGTAGTTCCAATTCTTTAAATTCTCTCTTTTTTGATGGAGATATTTCTGCACAAACATCACTGAAGCTTATGTTATGAAGTGATCTACCTCTATTTTCTTTTGTATATTTTAACATTTCATGGCTTACATACAAGTATTTAAACCATTTTGGGTAGATTTTTGTGTATGCTGTGAGAGTGTGAACTAGTTTCATTATTTTGTATGTGAATTCCCCCACCCCAACATCATTTATTAAAATGCTGTTTCCCAACACTACTTACTGAAGAGGCTCCAGTGTCCTTGGCTCCTTTGTCATGTAGTAACTCTATAGATCAATGTTTATTCTATTGCCTCAGTCTATTCCATTAGTTTGTGTTTGTTCCAGTACTATGCTGTTTTAATTATTATAGCTTTAGTATAGTATAGTATAGTATAGTATAATGTAGTACAGAAGTATAACTTTTCCATATTCCCTCTTATTTTCTCAGGTTTGCTTTGACTGGTCAGAGCATTTCATAGCATTATACTGCTGTTCTGTGTACTTTGTACAGTGACAGACACCTGTGTCACTCTCCTTAAGATTCCTATTTAATATTAAACTATGTAAGTGTGTGCATTGCCTGGGTTTGAATTTTAATTTTCCTGATTATATACTGTGTGAGCTTCAGGAATTACTTTAAGACTCCTCAGTGAAATGAGATAAATACAATACTTAGTTTCTTTCAGATAATTAAGTACATTATAATAGAGTCAGTAACAAAAGAAAGAAGCAATTGCAAGACTCTCTGGATGGAGAAAGACCTCAATAAGTGTGACTAGATGGAAAATATTTTGCATTATGGATTAAACATACAACTATGGCTGCTCTTTTGAGAATAGATACAGAATATACAGAGAGTGAACATGGAGATCAGTTAGTAGTAATCCAGGTAAGAGGCTGGTAGCCCTGTTACAGGTAGAAGTCTTCAGTTTCTGTGTACATTTTAAAGGTAAAAGTGCCAACGAAATTGGTACATAAAAGAAAGGGGGGATAAAAATTATCCCCAAAATGTTTGGACTTGAACAATGAGTGCTTTCCTTTAGAAAGAGAGGAAAAACAGAGGAATTTTGGGGTTAGAAAAGTTAATTAAGAACAAAGTCAAGATGTAAAATAGAAAATTAGGTATAATAATTGGTAATTCAAGAGGTATATTTAACTAGTTATACAATTAGAATCAATTGCATTTAGATGGTAACAAAATCGAAGAATTGGGTGAAATAATCTCAGCTATAAGAAAAAGAACTTAAACAGATATGAAAATAGTGGTACACACTAAGACAAATATTTTAAGAAGGGAGTGACGAGTTATTGATGGTAGAGATAAAATCATAATTAAGACTTGTTCAATGTTTATGGTAACAGCATTTAAAGAAATGAATTGATGTAATAAAATATGGTTCAGAATAAAAGTAAAGATAAAACCCTGAGAGGCAGAGTCAAAAGAAAAGTAAAGAGAATTGCAGTGTATGACAACTCTTGAAAGCAATGCTATTAAAAAAAAAAAAAAACATGTTGGAAAATAAAATTTTTGCTAGAAAAAGGGACTTGGGCACAAGGAAAGGGTTTTCAACAAAGCTCTATGCAGATAATAAATATTGTAAAGGCAGGGGAAAGAGGAATCAGTGTAAGAAATATGTGTACTTAAGAGTAATTAAGTGTACCAAGATAGTCAAGAGTGATTCAATGGAAGGGTGGATAGCATAGTCTAACAGGATGGGTGGTTTCCTAATAATAAGAAGGGAAATAGAGTATATGAACATAGAATATAGGTCACTTTGGGGAGATGGTGGTGGGAGCTTGCTTGTCACAATTTTCTTTACACATGTTCTTAGCCAATAGGCCAAGAAGCGATGTACAGTTCTCTTTAGATAAGTTCTACTATCAATGAAATGATAGTAAATTACTTATTTAAGAATAATTTGAGGTGTAAATAATGGGGTGTAAGGAGAGATGAGCAGATGTGCCATAGACATGTGGGACAGTGAGTAGATTAGTTATGTAAGGTAGAAAGTAGTACCCATTTGGGATTAGTGATGAAAATTCAAATGAGTCTTTTTTTTTTTTCTTCAGTTGTATTAACTAACTAGGGTACCAGTTGAGGACAGATGAATAACTGGATTTAACCATGGTTATGGTTTCAGGAAAGTATAATGAAAGGATAAGAGGGAGCAAAGGATTTGGAGTATACACAAAGAAATGATTGCAATGATCAACAGTGGAATCTAAGCTGACTAAAGAAGAATTATAAGAGAAATAAGAGGAACAGTGTAAAGAATTATTTGGGGTGTTCACTGGCATGACAGAGAAACTGAACCCATTAAAGAACATACTGGCTAAACTTGAGATAATGAAGGGAATGTGGAAAACTATTTAATACAAACATCAAAATAAGTTGTCAAACTATGGGTGTTACTGTCACTTACAGTACTGACATCTGTCCCCAGTGTGTTCAGGCTGGCACTGGCAGTAAGGCTGGTTTCCAGGAGTCACACCGCAGGTCCCTCCATTTTGACAAAATTCTTCACACACAGTTTGACCACAGTTTGGTCCAGTAAACCCCAGTGCACAGCTGCAGGTGGGTCTTCCTGTTGGCAAAATAAAAAAGGCAAAAAAAAAAAAAAAGAAATTATTTTATTTGAATAGTATATTTTCATAGAATACTCAATATACAAAAATCAAGAGATTTGGATTCTGGTTAAGACTGTCCACATTTAACCTATAACTTTGGGAGTGGTAACAGGATTTTAGGCAGTGATGTGCACCTTTGAAACTCAGTCACCCCATGTTACACTGAAGTCTATACTTGAAGCTAACTCAGGTTCACAGCAGGTAGAGCTGTTAGAGCTCATTTTCTGAATACTTTATGCTTGAATATATTTGTTATTCTTTTCATATCTATTTAGTTTTCTTAAAATTATTTTTGTTTTATTCAGATATCATGCAGACTGTGTTGACTATTAGAATGTAATATATAATGAAATAGAGACAATCAAGTTTCCCAGTGTTCACTTACCATATAACAGTCACTCCTAAATCAACATACAGCATGGTCTTAGACTTATTTTAATAAGCTTGAGTGTACATGCCTTCAGCATAAGATCTATGGATATTAGTTACTGTATTTGATTTAAATACATAGAGTCTTTAGTATATAAACATTAAATTCTATTTTACTTCATTTTGATACATTTATTCATGATAAAGAACCAACACTTTTTGTCTAGTAAGAAGTGTAATGTTGGCCCTCCCTGGTGGCTCAGCGGGTTAAAGCACTGCACTAAGAAGATAAAGCCACTTCCACATGAGTTCGATCCCAGTCTGCCCCGAGGTGACCACATGGCATGGCAGACCTCTCCTGACCCGCCTGCTGCTCCCCTCAGCAGTGTACTTCGTCGATCTGCCTGTTTTGCTCCCCACTCTGTCTCTGGTGAATCCTCCACATCTCTGGCCTGTACCCCAGATCTGTATGAATAAGTAAATAAATCTTTAAAAAAAAAAAAAAGAAGTGTAATGTTAAGAGAATATAAGCATGAATCCTACAGGTTATCTTTGAATATTTTTCTTACTTGCTGTATAGCAATTAACATCACAATGAAAGGTAAATTCTTTATGGTGCTTTAAACATAACACAATAAACTGATATGTCAGAATGATTTTTTCTCTAAGTTCTTACACTGTCAAGAAATAAGCTGAAAATGGAGAATAGAACTAGCTCTGTAGGAGATGGGGAAGAAAACAAACTCAAGCTATCATCTGTAGTGGGGAAGAATAAAGTTTAGATGTTGTAAAAATGTAAAATAAAAATAATATGAAAGAGAATAAGACAGAGATTCAGTTATTCATCTTAGTTAACTAAGAAGATAATATCAATCAGTTGACTAGCATTAGAGAATCATCAACTATCTCCTCTCTCACCTTTGTACACATGAAGAACAGTTAAAATGGTCAGAGAAGTGAATACGTTTTGGTAACATTTGAAAAGTGAAAGTAATGAAAGTGTTCTCTTTTGTTACTGATTTTAAATTGAAAGATGATCTTAAATTTTTTTTAAGGGGGGAGGTGAAACATTTTAAAGTGAATAAAATGTTCCTTATTAAAATCTATCCATATTTACTAAAAGGATAGAAAAGTTAAGATTCCACAATGCATTTATTTATTCTTTTTTAGAGTTTATTTATTTTTTTCAGCTTTACTTGGATTCCTTACATACCTAAAAATGTTAAAATCTGTTGCTTTTCAAGAAAGAAAACCATATACATTTTTATGACAGGTAGCATTATTTTAAACTTATGTATGTCACTAGTTGGTGTCAGATAAATACTTATTAGGCTTGAAAAAGTACATTTTTGTGACTTAAAAGCTGAGAAAATTATTACATTTTCTATTGCCAGAAATGACTTTAAAAAATTAGCTAAATATTTTTCTTATAATGGTATTAAACTTTCTAGTTTCTTGCATACATACTTTCTCACATACAGATAAAAATATCATCACACAAAAATAAGAAACTAAAGACACAAGAGAATGAATAGAGGTAGAATCTAAACAGGATATTTAATCCTTGGAACACCACTATAAAGGAAAACAAAAGCCCTAAACAAAAGAAATAATTCCTCTTCACTTGCTTCATCAACAGTGAATGACTTACAAAGAAAAAGAATACATAAACAACTCAAATTAAAGTGGGCTAAATGTAAAATGGTCCAGAAAGTACAGGAGAAATCAAAATACATTATGCCAAGTAGAAAAAAGTATGTTTAGAAGAATATTTAAACTTTACAGAACAAAGATATTTTCTAGATATCTTTCTACTATATTTTTTAAAATTATGAGTAAAAAGAAGAAAATGGTGCTATAAAAAAATTCAATTTGCGGAGGGAATTGCAAATTTCTCTCTTCTAGTCACTCAAAGGACTGACACCAAGCTCTCATTTCATCTACGGCTGTTTGTGAAACCAGGGCAGAGTGACCAGGTTGCCCCCAACTAGCATATGCCTCCCATCATTCAGATTCCTACTGAATTACTTTCGAAAGGCTCTGACTCTTCCTGTGAAGAGATTTCTGAAAAGTTGAAATCTCCATATTCAGGAGAATATTATCTAACTTGAAACCTGAGGTGATGCAGCAGATTTTTTGTTTGCTGATGGAAAATGAACCAACTGTTGCAGAATTTTATAATGGGTTCAACTAATATGTTCAAGAATCTCTCTGTGTGCATCAAAACAAGTTACATTGTATTCAATTATAAAGAGTTGATTAGATGTTTGGATTTGACATATCAAAAGGAAACATCACCATTACAATGAATAAGATACACATTTATGTAATAGCAGTGATGCATGCAGAATGCCTCAGAGGGCAGCAACATTAGCTAAAGCAGCAATGGACAAGAGGAAGCATCTGGAAGAACAGTGTGGAGTGGGGGAACATCATACACTCTACAGTTTAGTTTATATAGTTTCTTAGTTCAGCCTGTAAGAGAGTAGGCGGTCAGATTTTTTTTTGATTCAGAGACTATTTGTGCCAATTCCTAGTATTGGGACTACGGATAAATATTTCTTGGCTTAGTTTTCCATATATAAAATGGTGATAATAATATGTGCAGTGGTTGTGTAGAATCATGTAGAGTAAGTTAATACATTCAAAACTTGTCTAGCTGTACCAGGTACATAGTTACATTTTAACTTTGATGGCATTATTAATCTTACTGAGAGAGATTCACCTATCTGTATGACTTACACTGTGATTATATTATAAAGTCACTGTGACATTCTAGGAAAATAATTCTCAAAAATTTCTTAAATGACATACTATTTCCACTATTTATTTGAGATGAAATTAAATTTGAATTGTTTTTATGAGTGACAGGAAAAAGCAGGAATTCTACTGTCACACTCCAACATTTTCAAAATTAGGTATGAGACTTTTGCTTTTCTCATTCTAGCCAGGTGAATACTTTTTAAAATAGAAAACAAAAACAAACACACCCTATACAATATATACACTACACACAAAAACACAAACCTGACTAAATGTTTTCGAACTAATAAGCATTTTCAAAACAAATTTAAACTTCTACTATCAATTCTAATATATGACAAAGTAAAGTCTTCAATCTTATGGTTGGGCCTCCCCATTTTTTTTCTTATTGCTGTTCCCACTTCTCTTGATCTTTCTCATTATGGACAGATCCCTTAATGCTCATATACATATATCATGATTCCATGGCAATGAGAAAGGTTTAAGAACGGATAACTTGATGTATTGTATATGTTTATGTATCTTTATGTATTCATGGGAAACTTTCTTCTAACTTTTTTTTTTTTAAATATTTATTTATTTGTGCATACAGAACTGGGGTACAGGCCAGAGGCTCAGGGATGGCGAGAGGCTTCACCAGAGACAGAGTGGGGAGCAGAACAGGCAGATCGATGAAGTACACTGCTGAGTTGAGCAGCGGGTGGGTCAGGAGAGGTCTGCCACGCCATGTGGTCACCTCTGGGTCAGGTGGGGATCGAACTTATGTGGAAGTGGTTTTAGCTTCTTAGTGCTGTGCTTTAACCCACTGCGCCACCAGGGAGGGCCTCTTCTAGCTTCTTAATCCTAAATTTACTGATTTCTTCTTAACCACTTTCTCAATGTTTCTTTGTATTTTACATTTATTAACATCTACACCAGAGAATTGTATCTCCAGATGGCTGCTGAGACACTAGAATCATTGATTTTTTTTTCTTTTTTTTTTCTGTCTCTCAACAACATAATTCTAAATTCCTTTTTTGGGAATATTATACAATTTCATGGTTTCTATAATGATCCCACTATCTATACATTTTTTTTTAAAGATTTATTTATTTACTCATACAGACTGGGGTACAGGTCAGAGATGTGGAGGGTGATAAGATTCACCAGAGACAGAGCGGGGAGCAGAACAGACAGATTGACCAAGTACACTGCTGAGTGGAGCAGCGGGTGGGTCAGGAGAGGTCTGCCACGCCATGTGGTCACCTCTGGGTCAGGTGGGGATCAAACTCATGTGGAAGTGGTTTTAGCTTCTTAGTGCTGTGCTTTAACCCACTGCGCCACCAGGGAGGGCCTATCTATAAATTTTTGTTACAGTTTTCAATTCTGGGTTTTTCTCCTTAAACTTCAGAACCTTATTTTCTCTGCTCCTTGTAAAAAACAAAAACAAAAACAAACAAACAAAAAAAAACAAAACATACAAGAGATACTCATACAGAGTGCAGGTATCTCTGACTGCTTAATAGTTTCATTATTTTCATGCATAACCCCCTCTCCAAAATAAATTTTCTTCTTGGGCCTCCCTGGTGCTGGAACGGTTAAGTCTCAGCACTATGAAGCTATCTGTGGCCACTGCAGCATAAGCTCTATCCCTGGCCAGGCAGTTAATCCACACAGAGGCAGACCTCTCCTATCTTCCCTGTTGCTCCCCTCAGCAGGGTATTTCAGTCAATCCACCTGTTCTGCTTTCCACTCTGTCTCTGGTGAATCCTGTCAGCCCACAGCTCTCTGGCCTGTACTCCAGCTTTTGTTTGCATAAATAAATAAATTTTAAAAAAGTATTTCT